AAGATGGTGGCAGGCTGCTAACATAAGGAAAAGAGGTTTCAGAGCTGTCCAAGATCTTCAGTCACAAGGCATGTGTGACTATATGCATTGGATTTTTGGGTTTCTTCACGGTCTGCAAGTTATCATGGCTGTTCGTCTATCAGATGGTATTCTTTAGTCAGCGTGAAAGGTGTTGCAGAAGGGGTGAAGTAAATCGGCTGATGCATGGTTTGTTTAGGTGTGATTATGAGAGTCTACAATTGGGTAGATGTTCAGAGAGCAAGATACTACAAGGCTGTTATTTTCAGAGGGGATGTAGTGTGGTTTTCTAAGTAGATATGTGTTTGGCGTAACACATGGTTTTCTGCTGGGATGGATCTGCGAGAACGAGGAGTTATTTGTTCAAGGCAGAGTTCGGCTGAACAGGTGGCAGTGTCAAATCAAGATTGTTTTGGGTTTTCTGCATGGGATTCAGTAGTAGTTTGTTTTGGCTTCTCAGGCATATGAGGGAAAACAAATGGGTCTACAAGGTATCATGGTTGCAGAGAGGTAATGATTTGTTCGAGCAGAGGTTGAGCAGGGATTCTTTGCGTCGAAAGACTTCTTAGCAAGTTGAGCTAAGCGGCGGGTTCTGTTGCCAACAACAGCGGTTCAGAGAAATGTTCAAGACAAGGTGTTCATTCAGGTTATTACAAAGAAAATTCTCAGAATAAGAAGTTGGTGTCTACAGGTTGTTGAGGTTTATTAAGGTATTGAGTCAAAGGGCTTCTGGTTTGAGGCAGTGGTGATTCAGGTTCCGTAAGAGCTTCAAGGTAGCATCGACATCAGCTGGATAAATTCTGGAGAAGAAGAATCAGTAGATTTGTAGTCACAATCACATCATGTGTGACGAACCACAGATGATGCTTAAGATATGCAGCATCAGAGAGAGAAGCAGATGGCGGTTGTTTTGTGGTAGACAAAGACGACGTCAGGAAGGGACAGAGGAAGAAACGTTCACAGGAGGATCTTAATGCACATGATGGTTTCAGGTTTGGGAAATCATGATGAGATACTTGCAAGGGATGCAGCAGTGTTTGCAAGAAAGTGAAGACATGCGTAAGCTGCAACAACAACAGCTGCACAAGTGGGCGTGTTCGTGATTAGTGTTGGAAATTGATTTGAATTGTCTGTGATGGAAGATATCTCAAGTTAAAGATAGACTCATATTAAGTCAACGTTAGACTTAAGAAGACGGAATCAAAGGTCATCAATCTCTCCGGAACTGAAGTTTTTTTCAGAGATCACAAGGAATGCAGGTTATCTTTACGAAAGATGATCAACAAATCTTGCAGCTGCACAGGTTGGTTGTCATGTGGCAACAATATGACAAAAGAGGTGATTATGTTTTGGATCAGTTCAAGTCAGTCTCGGGGGTGCATGAGAAGCAAAGTTTCTGGCTACTAGAAGAAAGCCAGAGGAGTCACCAAGTTAGTGTGACTAAGACAGGTTGTACCTCCACTCAGAAGCAACTAGATCAAGGACAAAGTGTGTAAAAGCCTACACAAGGGTATATTGGAGCAAATGATGATTTGTGGTAACAACATGGAGCAGCTTTAGTGAGGTCGTGTGAGTGACATGAAAACCTATGAGAAAAGGCGATTCAAGGTTAGACTTAGATTGAAGATTTTTGTCAAATGCAGAGGAAAATACGCAGGCAGTATCGGGCTGAACAGGTTGTTACGACGGATTTTAATCCTGAGAGTAAAAGATATGAGACAATAGTCATCAACAGTTGCTTAAGAAGCATGAAGTCTCTACCACGGTTAGTAGAAGTGTGTGTGAGTTATACCTTAGAGGAATCGTCATGGATGTCTGAGACGGAAGTTCAATATGAATAGACTCAGAGGAGAAGTAAGCAACGCCGGTATGGTGTCACGACCAGAGAGATCAAGGTGGAGCTCTCGGACAAAAACGAAGCTCAAAAGAAAAAGGAGAAATTTGCAGACTTGACCAGGTCAGAACTTCTTACTTGAACAGGTCATGGTTCAAGTATAGTTACAGCTGAAGAAACTCGTCATGGGTTAAATTCTGACACAGGAGAAGTTGTAAGTATTATCTCAGGAGCATCACAGACGTTGATGATGAGAGAAATTGTTTAAGGCCGATAGGAACCACGAACAGTTTCAGAAACTTGGCTAATTCCCAGAGACATGGTACTTCTAAAGGTTATTTGATTCATTTGGAACCACTGAGATTATATAAGGAATGATGCATCAGAGATTTATAATCTGATTCCAGGTGGGGTGAGTCAAAAGTTTCTGTTTTAGAATATGTCTTGATTGTTTCAGCTGAAGGGTAAAATTTTCGGTTAGCAACTTGGTCAGCTCAAGAGGGTAAGAGCTGAAAGAGAACTTGATTCCATGATAAGAGGGTCGTGGATATGTTCAGGGTGTCAAGGCCAGAAGTGTCAAGATCAGTTAACAAGTACAAGACCCATCAGAAGGAGTTTGTAAGAGGAGTCTTACATAAGGTTACTTGTAGGCAAGACAAGTGAAAATGGCATATGTATCAACAGTACACTGCAGTGAAGGTGATACAGAGGAGCCGAGTATGATGCAAGGTAACACGTGGTGAAGTGCTTAGTTAAACTAATGTATTGAGCGGTGAAGATGAAGAATGGTGAGATGAAACAAAGTAAGAAGCTGTTGGAAGACATTGCAGGGACTGCAGGGAATTGTCTTACAATTTGTCCATCTCAGGAAGGGTAAGACTTGTTCTCCACAAGCAGGCTCATCTTAAACTCAAGTCATGGAACTGAAAGAAGCTTCATGAAGATTTAAATGCAAAGCAAAACCGATTGCATTTAAAGAAAGGAACCAGTGGAGTTCTGAATATATGGTGGCATCACAGGTGAATATACTGAGCGTGTTCAAGTCGTTGATGATGATGCACAGGTTTCGGTATTGGAGACATCTCAGTACAAGAAGGGTATTGAGGGAATGGATTCACAGCTGAGTAAATGAGGGATATCATGGATTCTAGATAAGATATCACAGGCAGCTCGTGAAGGAGAGCCAAGGCGTATCATGGACTAGATGGTATGAGGCTCAGTTCATTCAACTAGCAGTGGGGTCTAAATCTGTTAGTGGAGGTTCTGTTGTTGCTGAAGAGCTTGATCAGATGGTGGAGAAAAGATATTTGTGTTGATAATCTTCCTAATCATATGGTTTTAGGCGGCGTGTCATGTTAAGTGTGTAGCGGTACAAAGTGATGCTCAAGTGCAATCTGTTCAGGAACATCGAGGGTAAGTCAAAGACTGTTTCAGAGATATGGAGCATAAGTGACTTCAAGTTTTGCGATTGATTCTAAAGGGTTCAGTGTGACATCAAGGTTCTGTTAAAGCATGGTGGTTTCACCAGGTTGTGTCGTAAGTTTGTCCAGCAGTGATGGTTGGATGGCGTGTTCTGTTCAGAGTAACAGCGGTACAAAGGTGTTCAAGGCTGCAGCGTTTTAAACAGGTATAGAATCAGATGTTGTTTCAGGAGTGAAGCATACATGGTTCAAAGGTTTGTTGCACAGAATTGGAGAATTTGGATTCAAGGCTCAATGTGCATGAGTGGAATCAAATGGCTGAGGAGGAAATCAATTTGCAGAAATATGCTCAAGTTTTTGTTCAAGCAGTTGAACAAGTTTGTGATTTTGATAGCAAGGTTGTGTTGTTGATAAGTTCACGAGGAGTAATGAGATATGAAGTAACACGACGTCAATGAGGAGTTGAGCTTAACGCTTGGAGTGTAGCAGCTGGGTTCGCATCTTAAGACACTAGATGAAGGTGATGGAGTTTCAGGATGGCAATGAGATTATCACATACCTTTCATCAGGCGTGATATCTATGTTCATTGAAGGAGCTGAGTGGATTTAAGTATTTAATCTACTTAAGCGGTTGTGGTGTATAAGTTGAAGCTTATGCAGCTTTTAAGAAGATCATGAAGGAACTTCAAACTTAGCTCAAGATGGAGCTGAGAGAAGTGAGAAGAGATAAGAGATAATAGAAGACAAGGAGAAGCAGAAGAGGAGGTATCAACAGAAAGGAAGGGTTATGATCTTTAACCAAACAGGTGGAGTTTTGTGAGGTTTGGTCAAAGCCCATCAGGCGTGTTCAACTTGGGCCGGCTTTGGACAAGTTACGCACGGACAACTTAGGGGCTATTCATTAAAGTCCATTAGGTTAAGTGTTGACAATACAAGGAAGAAGAGATCACGACAGGGATCTCTAAGCACAAGCCAAGCCTCTTGGAGGCAGAATCTTCAAGCCTCAGAGTAGTGCTTCCATGGCATCTCTTAGAGAGATAGAGTAAACTAGAGATCGATATGTATTCTAATCTTAGCTCTTAGCCATGTAATCTCTTGTATACTCTCTTGGGTTTTCATATCCATGACAGAGAGAGTAATAATCTTGTAAACGATATCGAAGGCGTTTTCCGATATTTCATAGTGGATGTTGTGGATCTCTAAATCCACCCTAGAGGTAGCGCGCTGCGGCCGTGAACTGGGTGAAAAAGTCTTAAGTCATAAATAAGATTAGTGAATCATATGAGTAGATCCAGAGTTTAACTTCCGTAATAAGTGGGTACCATAACCTTACAAGTGGTACCCGAGTGCCAACAATCGCCATAATTGGCGCCAAGTTAAATTTATGGATACGACATCTAATACCTCCTGCATCTCTCGGTAAGCAACGTTATGGGAGAATAGATTATGTAATAAGATAAAGAGTTGATTTCATTGTAGGACACAATTTTGTCTTTTTTGACAAGAAAAGACACATATTGCCTTTGGGACACTTTCCCTTATCTCTCTTCATGACGTTTTACATTATTAGCCCCTGGTTGAAGAAAGAATGGTTAAACTTGGTTAACCCCGGTTTTCCTCACCTTTAAGTTACTGTCCCTTACCTAAACACAAACCCCCTTCACTTCGTCTTCCTCGATTAGGTCATCCTCGCCGCCTTGTTCTCCTTCTCTGAAAACAGCTTTCACATGAGTTCATCCACCTCCTACTCCAGTTCCCAAACTCGTAGAGTAACAGTTGGTATACCAACTCGATGTTGGTGTGGTTCCACTCTCACCACTTTCGGATCAAAAACGAAGGAGAACTTATTCCGTCGGTTCTACAGGTGTGAAATCGGCGTTAGGGTATGATTCTTATCCGATTCCCATTCAATCACTTTATACTCACTTTACCTTTTACCACCAAATGACCTATTGCCTCGTTTAATCCTTCCCAGAGACAAAACGAAGACCATTTGTTCAAATGGATAGACGAGGCGATTATTGATGAGATTAACATGGTAGATGCTAAAGTGTCTAAGCTTCAAGCAGATTTGGGAAGTTTCATGAAGTCAACCTCCGATCTCTTCGACAAACAGGAGAATTACATGGACGGCGCCATCAACGACATCAAAAACCTTCTCCAACAGCAAACAAATCTCACAAATCAAACCATCCAATCGTCCGGACCAGAGAAAGCTAAATCCAACATTCTCAACATTGCTACTGCTGCAGTTGTCTTCGGAACAATGGCCTTCATCTATGCCAAGCTCACTAACTAATTATCGACTACTAATTATGCTAATGTACTATCACTAATTATGTTTTCGCTTAGGAACAATTGTCTTCTTTGTCCGTTTCAATTAAGTACTCTCTTCCTTTTGTTATTGTCTGTAGCTTTTTGATGAGGTTATGTCTTATCTCTTATGCAATGCAAGTTGCTTATCAAGCTATGTAATGTTCAAATACTCTAATGATCATGATGCTATTTACTACAACGCCTAGCATGCAATAAACACAAGTGATCTAAACACTTTCTCCCAAAGTTTACTAACATAACATTTTCTCCCAAAGTTTACAAAAACTTTTTTCCAAAGTTTACAAAGTTGTTGATCAACAACACACCAAAAAAAAACCCAAACTTGGAACAGGGTGAAAATAACAACATACCAAAATACAACCTCAATACAACAAGGACCTCCAAAATACATTTCAGACCACTAACATCACATTCCTGTCTTCTCCTATATAGGGTTGGCGTAATTAGTTCGATTATGTCCTTCCCCACGGCACCTACCACATTTGTTGGGAACCAATTTCTTCTTTGATGCCTGCAACAGTTACAAAATGTACAAAACATCTCTAACTGACCACAACATCAACAACCCCAAACAATATTTTTATTAAATAACCATCTTTTAGGACAAAGTTTGAAAAAAAAACTCACCACAAATTCCCCGGTTGATGGTATGCGTGACTTTCTACGGCGTCCTGCTTGCCGTTTAGTAATCGGAGGGTATAAAACCATACCACTAATTTCTTTTGGGATTTCAAAATCTCTACCATCACCCTCAGGGTTTACAACCCCTGCATATGCCTCTCTCCACGCTGCTGTTTTGTACCAATGACCACAAAGTGTCTCATAACTTACACCTAAACCATCTGCTGCAATCAACGCATGGCCACAAGGTATTTTAATATCATCAAAATACCTACAAGTGCACTTCTTACTATCTTTTCCTCCAAACTTCCCAACAATTTCTGCACTCCAACTACAAACCTTGTTGATCTTACTGCCTTTCACACTTGCCATGTTCTTCGTCAACTGCTTGTCGACTTCCACACTCACAGAACCTCTATGCTTGTCAGCCTTTTTCCTTCTCGCACTAAACCACCTTGTCATCATCCTTTGTATGAATGTTAATAACTCCACTATAGTGCCGCCCCTACCCTCCAACAAAGCCTTGTTTAGTTGCTCAGCAATATTGCTGGTCATGATGTTATACCTTTCCCCGGGAAAATTAGTTCTAGACCACTTAGCACTTTCTATTTTCCCCAGATATACACCGCATGCACTGTTTTTTGCTCTTATCTTGCTATAAAGATCCTTGAATTCTCGTGGTCTGTGAGCCATGGCAGCTGCCGTTACCAATTTAGCTAAGTACTTACTTGAGAACCTGGAGTTGACATTCCTAGCCAAATGTACTATGCACGCTCCATGCTTAGCCTGAGGATAAACCGTACTCACAGCATTTGATAAGCACACTGCCCTATCCGATATTATTGCTAGACTACTAGAATCACCAAGAATCCTCTCTACTCTCTTGAGAAACCATGTCCACGCATCTTCATCTTCACTGTCAACAACAGCAAACGCCAGTGGGAATATTTGGAAAATGGCATCTTGCCCGCTTGCTGTCAACAATACACCCTTGTATTTACCACTAAGATGTGTTCCATCAATCACCAATACAAGCCTCAACTTCTGAAATCCTATTACCGAGGCACCAAAAGCAACAAAACAATAGAGAAAACGTTCATCACCTTCATCGTCCACATCAGTCAACAAATCAGTTATTGTTCCATGATTTGCAAGCTTCAACATATACAAATACTCGGGCAACTTCAGGTAAGACTCCTCATCAGAACCACGAAGACACAAGTTAGCTTTTTCCTTCGCCCTATAGCATTTCATGTACGAAGACTGCACACGCATATCCTCCATCAGAAGCTTCTGCAAATCCCTCGCTGCAGGTGCCTTGGACGGATCACCAAACTTGGCCTTGTAAACGGCAGCAATTACACGAGATGTTTCTCTACTTTTGTAGCTATGTCTAAAGTCTATAGGACATCTATGAACAAGCTGAGCCTTCCTTATTTCATAGTAACCACAGCCTCTTATCTCGTGGGCAGTGACACGCCAATCACAACCACTATCAGGGCAATCCACCACAAAAGAATCAACTTTTGTCCTTGTTTGCTTGAACTTAAACTGGTTCTTAATTGCATATATAGCTAACGCTATTTGGAAATCCTCTTTACTACCATACACCTTACCAACCCCAATTTCACCATCTACATCATCCACATCCATGTCAGGGATCTCAGCAGCATCATATTCTGTATCATCAAACAGAGAAGGAATGTCAAACTCCTCGTCAGCAACATCTGCAAGCTTCCTTGCTGGTTCTGTTCTCCTACCAGCATCTTCTCCTGCCTCATTACCACCACTCACCCAAGGATTATAATGCTCTAGCCCCTCCTCTTTACCCTTCTTTTCAACACCAGCCTCCTCAACTAAATGATCGAAACAACTCTTTGTGTTGCAAAAGTATGAACATGGTCCATTCTTCTTTTCCAAACACTCCACAATCTCGTCCTCGTTGAAAACAACATTCACAGCATTAGATCCCCCAAAATCACCATCTAATAAAGGTTTCCAAAACTCCTTATCATAACCTCTAGGGCGCACTTCTATCTCGTCTATATCCTCCTCAGCATTAATTTCTTCATCGGTTTCGAAGCTGCATCCACCACTCTCAGAAGCAGCCTTACTACTTCCTCCTCTACAACTCTCACTTCGAATGCTCTCTTCTACTTTCTCCACTTCACGTACAAAATCGTCTTCAAGATTTATTGCTCTTGTCTTCGAAGCTGCAGAGGAGAATTAACCCTCTCTTGAAGACCCCCCTTCCTTCTCGGTTCTACAAGAATCAAACCTAGCTGCTCCAGGTGACACGAAACCAATCCCAGAATCATCCACGATCTCCCTAACCACGCCCAAATCTCTGTTTTCAAATTTGGCAAACAGGTTCATCCCTCCTTTCACTTTCAGATGTTTCCAGAAATACATCACACCACCGTCACTTGTTAGCAGCACTGGCGGTGTCCTTATTCCAGTTGCAAGCTCAAACGTTGATGGTGGCCAGTAGCTTAACGATACATCGGAACGCCCTTTATCAACTTTGAACTCGCGGAAAACATTGGTCTCAAGTTCTTTGAAACTCATCCCTTCCTTAACACTAACCATTCTTCCCATCTGATTTTTCTCTATCACAAAATCCCATTTACCACCTTCTCCACATACCCACTCGCCACTTATAACTAAACATTGCTCATCCATCAAAAGAAACCGTGTGTGTTAAGCTTCTTCGTTACCTAAACAAAAATGTCAAAAACAACATTCTCTGTTATTACGTTAATCCTCAGATGAGTTTTACATTAAAAGAAAAAAAAATTGAGCTCAAGATCTACCGTTCCTCTCTCTTCACAGCTCCTTCACCGTAACAAAGAACGAGGAATAACCAGGCATTAATGTCCAAAACCTACTTCTTTAAACCCATAACACTAATAACAATCTCACCCGTTGGATTAGATTACATCCTACGGCTTTTGTTTGTCACTCTGTCCAATAAACATACCTTAATTACTCATACTAGGAAACACAACTAAACTATTTCAACGATATAAACGGCCTGCTCCAAATAGAACTAAACTCAAATTCTTCTAGTTTCGTCATAGTAAGCCGGTGTTGACTTCTGTTTCAACCATTTTATTATCTCTTATTAACTAGTGTTGCGGTTAAACCAGTGTTGTGACTTTGTGTCAAGTAGAGAAGATGGGAACATTAGCAAATACATTAGTGTTTAGCCAAAAAGTTGCAAAGGAAATAGGGTTTAACAGTAGATCAACAACCCAAGATCTAATGCTAGACAGTTATACAAAACATTAACCGCAACATACATATGATTGTTTAACAAAAGATGACCTAGAAAGATGGTGGGGGGGCATAGTAAGCAGGCATGACGAGTGTCTTGTAGATGTCCATGGAGTATTGCTTTCGAAGGTCATCAACAACTTTGTCTGAAATAGTTGACATCTGAGAGGCGGGGTCACCATGTGCGTGCATCTCCATGTACTTGACAGTTAGAGGACCGCAGTCGCCGCCCCTAGCGTTGAGATATAGATGTGGTACACGTTCCCAGCGGAAAGGCTTGAGGTCAGGAACTTGGTTTGGATTAGCAATCTTCTTTAGGATGTGGGGAAGTGACTTGAGGACATGATTCATTAACCTTTGCACGGTGACATCTTTGTATAAGGTTGGGAGTGGATCCAGGATTTCAACGAGACCAATGTCAAGCTTGATAACAAGGCCAACCCAATGCTTATTGTTCCACAGCATTGGAGTGTAGACAGTGTAGATATCCTGCAACAACTTCCTGCCTTAGTGGGAACACATTTCTGTGAGACGTTCCTCCCATTCTTTGTTAATGGCGCTATTAATCCTCTTTTTAATTTCTTGCAGACCAGAACCAAGATGTAGAGGAAAAAAAAGAGCATTGTGGTTTGCAAGCAGTTTGTAGTGCCTCCGAGCTAACATTGTAATGAGAATCTCCAAGTGCTGAAACCAAATAAGTACATAATAAGAATGAGAGTGTAGATATAATTTATGATTTGTAGGCCAAATGATCGTATATGTGGTAAATCAACTTACATATGCGGATGTCCATTCCTTGGGTGTAGCGAGATCAAGCAGGAATTTGTTTGAGAATTCAAATTCCGATGGAGTGATATGGAATCTGTAGTTAATTCGTCATTTAAAAATGAATCAATGAAAATATAGGATTGTTAGCAGTAATGAAGGTGAAATAAGTTAAACATACACTTTCTTGGATGCTGAAAGTTTTTTGTGGAAGAGCTGCCACTCGATTTCGGGTAGGGGCCCAATGAGAGAACGCGCTGGGATAGTAGGGCATTGAGAGAGTAGGCGCGCAAGATCGTT